CACTTCTGTGCAAATATCTGGAACACTGAGTGGCTTAAAACTAAGAAGTGACTGAAATGTTTCGCTATCTTACAGCTTAATAAAGAAGTCATTTGAAGATTCTCTCGTGCAACTTAAAAGATCTCTGTGAAATGTTATCAAGATTACTGTTATTTACCATCATTGCCAATAACCATCTCTAGTGTTTCTATTGTTCCTACACATTTTGCAAACATATCTCCTGTATTCTCGGTGTCCAATCTCTCTTTCGATACCTTTTAATAAACCTTCTTTCTTTTGCTGGGCATTTGTCCAAAAACCCACACCAAGAACCAAATGGAAATGTCCTCAAGGTTTCTTATGTGGTTGTTCACTAAAGGGAGCACGACTGGACACCTCTAAGAAATCCCTATTATTCAGTTCCAGTTGGGAAACAAATGAAGTAATGTTCAGAAAATCATGGATTCCCATGAAAATGGCACCCTGCTGCTGGATCGCACGCATCAGTCACCCGTGGCACGCTGCTGCCTGGGGAGCTCTGCGGTTGCCAGGAAAATGACTTGCAAAGGGATGGAAAAAATGCAGAAGTTTTATTTTGCTTACACAAACAACTGGTTACTTAATTATTTTTGCTTCCTTCAGATAAGGTTTCTGTTTGGCACGACAGAGATGACCCAGCAAGCGTACAGATCATCTTTGCTGTAGAAGGGGAAACCCGTGGAGCTGCGCTCAGAGGCAGCTCTGGGGGTGGTGCTGGCAAACACCCGCTCCATCCAAATGGGTATGGGAATTCCTTCCCACCCCCAGCACATGGGAAGAATTATACTACAGAAAATTACAGTTTAGAAGTTGCATGCTGGAGGTCTCTTGCTCATAAGACTTAATCAAAATGTATAAAAAATACCCTCACCACAAAAGAAATACTGTACAAGGAAACTATTTTAAACTTCATTATAATGAATGAAGATGAAATTTTAATCATAGGCCTGGAAGCTGGCTTTTGCCTTAAGAATAGTAATAATTACCAGATTTAATTCAATATGAGCAAACAGAAGACAGTAATTTGAAATGGCTAAATTGCCATTAACTTTTTACTCACAGTATCACTCAGTTGAGACAAAAAAAGGAATGAGAAGATGAATCATTTAGAATACTTAATAGGTGGCCTATATGCTACATTTGCATAATTAAAACCGGGCCATTGTAGCTAGGTATCCATTAGAGTTCATGCAAGAAAGAGATTTAAGAACAGAGAAGTAACATATATCAAACAAAAATTATAAAAACGACAGCCATCAACAGGAAAAAGATAAGTCTCAAAATGTCTCCAAGGACTAAAAGAAGATACAGTATAATGGGGTAAGCTCTTAGAAGGGGAAAGACAAAAGTGAATGGTCCAGAAAAGGTCTTGTAAAAATATGTAGGACGATCCAAAAGTATCCCTTCAGAAATTACTGGAGGTCATTTGAGATTTGAGGTGAGCTGTTTTTCAGTCCACAAGTAACTGATTTAATTAATATACACCAAACAAGTGTTAATCAGCATTTTAATATGCACACAACATTTAAAAGAGCTGGTTCTGAACAAGCTTTATTTGCTAATGTTCTTTCCTAAAAATGCTGAAATACAATGGAAATTCCAGAAGCCTTAAGACACTGCTAAAAACAGGCTGATGTTTTAAACTGTTAAGCTGCATGTTCTAGGTACCTACCTCCCCACTAACCTTCCACCAACCCCAAGCCAAGCAATGGTAAAGCTGATGAGATTCTATTAATAAAGTATTCAAAGGCTGAGATTCAATTAATGACAATCAACAGAGTTCCAAGAAAATTTGTTTTCAGCATCTAACAGGCATGACTTCATTCTCTGATGAGAATAAAAGTTTTCCTCATAAAGACAACTTCATAAAGATAGTAAACTTTAGTGGTGCATTTGGCTTTTTGGGTACCAAACCCTGCTATATTAACTGGTGCCATAAACTTTCCCTAGAACACAGACAGCATGGATTAAGAACTGTTTAGATGATGCATCTTCAACAGCCAACTATGGCAACTTAATTAAATAGTAATAGCTCTTATGCAGTCTGCCACAATTTGAACTATGGCTGGCACTTTCCATATTTATTGAATATCTAGAAGGAAATATAAAGCAACCACTGGTAATTACTGTGGATAACCGTAAGAGTGGCAGATAGCTATGGGCAATCACGCAGACGACACACTACATCATTTGTGTGATAACAATGCTTTCAGATGAAATGTGTTTCAACACAAGGAAATCTAATTGATTAAGGACATGGTAGTGCAAAGTACAGCTCCATGGGAACAAGCGCTTGCTGGAGTGCAACAGGCATGAAAGGTGGGTCCAGTTATGTCACAGTGTCCCTCTCTTTAAAGCCTGCCAGCCTTGTCACTGGAAGCACCTAAGAGCCTGCTGTTTCCCTCCTAAGATTTCACAAGACTTATGATTGATATTTGACTGATTGATTATTAAGGGACTTTTTTTTTTTTTTTCATTCAGTACCTGATATTTTGGTAATAGCTTCAAGTTCAAAGTTGGAAACAGATCTGGTTTAAGGACTGATACTCATGACCACAATTCCCATCTGTGCTGGGTAAGCCAATATTTTCAAGTGAATTTTCTTGTGATCTTAGGAGAGGCATGCTTGATGAGACATTAGGCATATTTCTTTAAAGAGAACTTAAGAACTTGTTTCACTGGGCACAGCAGAACTTTCAAAAGCTGTTTCACTAGATCAACCATCAGACTTGCAATTTGCAAGCCTCTTGGTTTTTTTTTTTTTTTTTTTTTTTTAAAAAAGTCATGCATTCCTGATGACTGCTCAGAACAAAGGATCCTCTAAGGAAGGACACATGCTCTCCTTGTTCTGGATGGGAAATTACTATACAGCAAGACAAGCAAGGCTTAAATACTATGGTTTAGTTGAGGACTCTGATTCAGGAAAGGTAAAAAAAATTGTACAGATACATGGTGCATAGCACAGACAGAAGTTTCACTATCTTAAGCAGTTCACAGCCCTTAAACTATAGAAAAAGAATGCTCTTAAGCACCTACTTTTTTAGGGGTGTGTTATGAATATCCTGAGCCAATTTGTGGGTTAGGTAGCTTCTTATTGTCACAGGATGTACAAGCATAAAAGAGCATGAGAGCCGCTTTGCACTCTGTATGCTTAGCAGGTACATGCGGTCACTGCAAAAGAAAAAACCTACACTGCACCACATGGTATATTTTCTGCCTCAGCTGAACAAACAATGCAAAGATAAAACTATTAGAAAAGGTACAGGGGAATCAGTAGGTTGCAATAAAGGTCCTTCAGAACTTAAAAAGCCACGTAAGTGCATGCAAAGGGCTGAGGTTTAGAAGACGCAACACTAGTGAAGGCTTAGCCATGAAACCACCAAGCTTTATTCTCACACCACTTCATCAGTCACTGCTGTAGTGAGGTGAAGCACTCTGCAGCGTGGAGCTTTGTTAAGATCAAGGAGGTAAACATGCATATATTCTAGGACACATCTCTGTTCCTTCACTTAAATGCATTTCTGTTGGATATAAATAAAAATGTGTTTATTTACACCAAGTAAATACTGTCTACATTTTACACCAACAGTTCATGTATTATTACAACAGAAACCCAACCTTTTCATAAAGTATCTTTTAGACAAAATATATGTATTTTAAACAAGATAAATCCATATAGAAGTACCTTAGGTCACAACTGGGATTTTGATATTAGCTAGTTAATTGACGTTGGAGCTTATTCTTTATAGAAATCTTTGAAAAGGTATAATCGCATTTGCTGTCACTGTAATTTTTTTTTTCAAGAGAATCTGTAGAAAGGCCTATAGTTTTAAATATTATTGTGGTACATCTTGTGATAACCTTGTTTGCCTGCCATCCATCCTGTAGTCTTCAACTTCCAAGTACTCTATGGCAGCTCAGCAATGCAGGACACAGTAATGAAGAAGTGACCAAGTAACTTAAACTGTTAGACGCAACACTAGCACAGGACACCTGCAATAAATCTACACAAGCTATTGCCATGTTATTTTTTAGTGAATCTTTTTGCTTTCTAGCAAGTCCAATCCCAAATTCTAATTATTTTGTTGAAGAGTCGGTATGTTCTACAGCAAACTGCAACAGAATAAATTTTCCCTAAGTAAGACTTCACAAAACACAGGCAAAAAATAACCTCAAAACAATTCCAGGTGCATATCTGTTTCTATTTTATTCCTTACATCCCAAGATACCACTAGTAGGGTTTTTTGGCCTCTATATGTAAAATGATCACTTATCGCTATGTTTAACCTTTTCTAGCCATAAGAAAAGCCCTTTATTTTTTAATAATTTACTAAGCCATTAAAAATAATTGCAAAAATAAAGAAAAAATATTCATTTCACCTAACTTCCAAATACATGTCTTCAAAATACACTCAAAAATTTTCAAAGTTATATTATTTTACATATATGACACAGTGTTGTGAAGAATTTGTGTGTAAGTATAAAACAGAGTACATATTAAGGACTTTGAAGCAGAAAGAACATCTTGGACCACAGAAACTTAACCCCTGACATTGCACGTAGCCACACTGTACAATCTGCTTCATGAAGTCATTTAGCTTTGCTATGATAGCTATGCTGAACAATCCAGTCTATATCCTCCTATTTCTGAGTGAGTGGACTTGGTATGAGAGGATTCAGTACTTTTTATCTCAATGAAAACACAGGTCTTCAGCCATTGAAAATACACAACCTCTAACAAACTGAACAAAAATCTTGTTCTCCTAGATGTGGTATGAGAAAACCTGTTATAGATTTTCCCACCTGATTCTACTCCCTGACACCCACTCTCCCCCTCCCTCCATCATCCATTACGGTCACCTCAAGCTAAGGACTAAGAAAATCCAAACAAGAATGTAAAAAAATATTTATATGCACATTACATTCCCAGTCTGAAACCCATCAAGTCTACTAAACTTCTTGCAAAACAAAAAAGGACTTACCCAATGTGTCTTTTAGATTTTTAACCAGAGAACCTTTCTTCAAGCTGTTTTTTCGCTCCACATAATTTGATGGCACATATCCCGTTTTGTTGGCCGCGTTTCTTACCCTCCACCATGTCTTGGAATCATCTAATAGCCAAAGACGCTCATTTTTCTTGATGTCAAGTTCTTGGTCCTGCTGTGCAGTGTAATCCCACTTTGCAATAACAATAACTTCTTCTGTCATCTTTCATGGAGTCCTTCTGCAACAAAATATCAAAACATACTCATCAGCAAATTATATCACGTAATTCTTACTCATTTTTTTTCTTTGAGTTCTTCTGAAATAAGAAAAGGGTAGGGAAAAATGAAAAAGCCATATAGAGAAAAAACCTCATAGACTGGAACTCTTCTTTGAAAACTAAAGGAAGTCCTCTTGACCTTTCTTGCATTTTCTGTCACTACAATATGACAACACCTTGACAGTAAATTCTAGTCATAATGTATTATACTCACTTCCTCTGAATGTATACAAAATATTATTCAGACATACATTAACAAAGGCTAATTTATAAGACCCATTTAGTTTTTATGTATTGCATTATAAAACTATCCCACACCTAGCATTCAAAGTTCTGATCTGAGAAAAAATAAATATAGCAGCATTCCAAGAAAGTTTTCCTTCTGCCCTAGTTCTTCATCCTCATTCTAACAGTATTTAAAAGTTTTCTGCATTTAAACAAAGTTACTAATATTTTTTTTTTTAGCAGGAAGTTAAAAATACTTCAAGAAGTAATGTAACACAGCAACAAAATCTGCCATCAAGAATTTCACAATGTTTTGTGAAAGTAGCACAAGATTGCCGTTTAGGAGAAGTTTTCACTCCTCCTTTGCTCCCGGGAAGATCCCAGCTCATTACAGTCCCGTGCCAGGCATGAGTCAGTGAGGCAGAGAAGAGCACCCACTGTGCTTCCCTCAATTGCATTTCATTTCTTCCCTATCCGAAACCCATCCAGAGTCCCATTAAGTCTGTAGGAGTTGTCTTTTCTTACTTACCTGTAAAAAGAATGATATTTTTCAAAGTTATTTGTCAGCTGCATAAAGACAGCTGCATGCCTCCATGTTTTCCTACACATCCCAGTAATTACCGGGAACAAATGTGAGGGAGCACAACAGTGTGCAAGGAAGAGAAAAATCCCATGCCAGTACCAGTGACATTCGAACGCATCATAATGCCAAACAAAACATGTTGATTTTATCCTCTGAATTCTGAGAAGTTACCTCAAGTTTTCTAATCGCTGCTGGGGGCTTCTCAGGGAGAGGGGAGGAGGACAGGAGAGAGCAGGAGGTGAGAATATATTCAAAAACCAATGTAGCCGATTATTTTTTTAAAAAAGTAAAAGCTGTACATTTCAAATTACAAATTAGTAGAAAGAGGTCCTAGAATACTCCAAACTATTAATGTCCAAAGATCTTTTTAACATTATTTGATTTTGTTGCCTAGTTCTTAGCAATCCACAACCCTATGAACTCCGATACCTAATAGTTTACATGACAGAAAAATAATTAAAAAACCACCAAATCTCATTCAGAAATTCTGTTCAGCGTGTAAGTTATACCACCTATATTCAGAAAGGGTTTCTTCTGCAGTCTGTAAACAGGCGCACACACTTTCTCCATTTAGCTACAGTACAAGCTGTAAAAATACGCACTACACAGCCCAGCAGTCTACACTTTCAAAGTGTTTTCCTTATTTAATCTATTATTATAAGACACAATAGTGGAGTCTACTATAATTTAATAGCCTCCTCTTATCATAATTTTTGTTTCCAGGAGAGCATCATATAGAGTTGAGCTGTGGTTGCTAAAGTATTTAACAGCAGAGGTCTGGAAAGTATGAGCAATGTCACCCCTCATGGCCAAGGTATGATGACATTTTTGAAAATCTGAGGCTGAAATCAACAGGCTCAAGTTTTCATTTTCCAGTTAGAAAACACAGAGGAAGATACAACAATTAAAACATTATTCAAATGTTAGCTTGCATAGCTGGCAGCCCCAAGATTAATGTAAAAAGAAATTACAATTTTTTGAACACTTGAGAAGAGACACAACCCTTAAAGTTTGAAGAGACTGTGACTTATGCAGGGGGAACTGATAATTTTACAAGAAATAAGTCACCATACCCATCGACAATTTTTTTTCCCCCTAAAATAATAATCCTGACACCAAAATGACATAGGAGAGCCTGAGCTTTGGACTGCAGTCTCAAATAAATTGCCCTGGTTTCTGATCACGTAAAACGAACACAGAGCCTGAAGGTCGATAAGCTGATGTAGCCACAGGGGGACTGCAATCAAGCATGTTCTGGAGGCCAGTGTTGTCAATATAAGCTCTCTCCAATTTAGAATGGTTTATTTTATCTCAGCAATTGTAAAATGGTCAATTCTTTCTATTCCTGAGGACACGGAGAACATGAAGAAATAGGACACCATCAATGTAGTTTGCTGATGTTGCCACCACATAGGCTCCACTTCTAAAAAAAAAGGTTATTTTCACAACACGGGCAAGTTACAATTATCTATCAATATTACAGATTATTAATAATAAAAAAAACACATTAGACATAATATTTGACAATGGAAAACTACTGAACTCTTCCTATGCCTCTGAGGAAAAAAAAAAATTTTGAAAAAAAACTTTAATTTGCCCCTGTTGTAAGAATCACCAAGTGTCTCCCCAAGGTGTTGGGCAAGGACAGAAGCCCAGAAAGAAAGCCTACGTTAGGGCTGACAACATGAGCTCTACAGTCCTCTGAAATTCATTCAAGACAGGAAGCCCCAATCAAGACAGGAAGCTACCCGATTTCTAGAATTACAGTTATTGTCAACATGTAAAACTGCCACTCTGCCTGAAAAACTAAGTGATTTCACAAGCAGATCCCTTGCATGATGCAATTTTCGCTGAAGCATCGTGAAGCCAAGTTTCTCAATTGCTGTGCTCACGGAGAACCCAAGTCTGTAAAACACTCTCGGTTTTGGTGTATGTTTACTGGCACAAGCATTCCTATCCAAGTAGAGGCAGGATTTATAACGAGTCAAAAGGCACCATATAATTGTAGCTAAACATGTGTCCATTTAAAACTGTATGCATGTGTTTCGGGGAGTTTGGTTGTGTTCATTTTTTTAATTGGGGGGGGGGAGTTTTGCTTTGGTGGGTTTTTCTGTTTGGTGGGATGTTTTTTTTTTAGTTTCAGGGTTTTGTTGTTTGGTTTCTTTTTTTTTTTTCTTTTTTTTTTTTTTAAATCTGGGGAACTAGTATTAATGTTCTTAAAAATAATTTCTTCTGGTTACATCATTAGATTGGCTCCATCAAGGACAATAAGGTTCTTCCTGGGACATTTGCAGAGCTGTCTTCAGTGGCAGCTGCCCTACTGCAGAAGCACACCTGAAAATGTTCCACCCTTGGGAGAGGAGGCAGGGGAAACTGAAAAATCTACCAGGCTAGGAAAGGCAGTGAACAAAAACCCACCCAAGGTAAAGTCTGTTATAAGCCTGCTCAGACAGGTGAGGAATATTATCTAACCCTAAGGCAGAACAAAGGCAGATATTGGTGGAACACCTCATACTGTAGCTCCCATATAGACTTTATCAGAAGAAAGTCCAGAAAAGAAAAGGTTATGTTCAATAAACTATAAATGATTCACCTATACCATTTTGAACTAATGCTTAAAACTGAACCATGCAAGCAATATTTGAGGTTACGGAAACTTAAACATAGAGAAACATAAGTGAATTTACTCCCACAATCTGCTAGTGATTTTTCATGTGAAAAATCTGCACTGTTGATATGATTTTAAATATCAAGCTATATACAACTGCCAAACAGATATAATTATCTTTTACCAGGCCTAGATTCCACCACTCCATGCCCCCCCCCAAGGCTAATGTGTTTCTCCCACAAGGATAAATAAGAAAGGATCCATTACAGCATGCCACCTGAACTGGCATCTTCTCTTACAGACTGACACAAGTTAATATGCCCATTAGTTTAATGCCCTGGCCCAGTGGGCAGAAAAGCAGCATCTTTTCTTGCCTCCAGGAAGAAGGCTCAGGGTTACATAAGGGATAGGGTTAGTTACGATAGCGCAAACAGGAGGTATATTTGAGCTTTAAAGATATAGTAAGAAAAGAAACGGTTGCTCTCCCTGTTCACTATTTATTTTGCAAAAAAGGAACATGGCTGAAAATTGATTGACAGTAATGCTTGAAATTTAATCCCTCACCAAGGGAACAAGCAAAAATTCTATTAATAGCAAGTGACAATTGACATAACAGACTGTTCTGGAATTGGATGTCCTCCTAAAATACACTGAAAGAAAGGTACTAAATTGATATGGAGGCTTTTACATGACACTGATGTGCATAAAACACATAATTGCTATACAGTATTACATAAGACATAATTACTAGACAATATTTAGTTAACTGTCTTGGGAGAAAGAAAAGATAACTAATGACGTATCATGGTTTTCTCTAAGATACGAAGGCTGAACAGCCTCTCCTTCTTCTGCCCCCAAACCCTGAAAATCAAAATGAGTTTTGAATCCTATAGCATGGGTTGTTGACGGGCCAGCTACCTAGTGTCCACTTGGTTAATCTGTCATAAGCTATAGCAAAGAAGCAATATTTGGTCCTCTTAAGATAACACAGTTGTGGAAAATTAAAAAAAAGTCTCTTTCCATCAAAGCCTCTTTCATAGTAACCAAATGTGCTTACTGTATTCTGTAATTAATAAAATAACTCATGTTAGATCACTCTAAGTCTGAAGCTTTCTTATTTATGAAGATGTAATCTCTAGTTAGCCTGCCCACTGTTTCAGGTGGTTTGAAGCTTTGTTTTCACTTACAGTTGTTTTCTTTGTTGTGTGTGTGGGTGGTGTGGTTAGGTTTTCTTTTAACATCAGCCTGGCTGAATAGTTTTGACATACAGAAAGATTTCAAAAAAGTGCATCTCTCTACATTTGAGATTGCTTCATTTGGTTCTTGGGGATCAGTAAAGCACCAAACTCAAAAACGGAATTCAGAAGGCATTAAAAAGAACAGAAGTGTGAAGTCAAATGAAAACTTGTGAAAAAGAATATACCTTTTGGACATACTTTTAGCTACTCCCAGTAGAACATAGCATTTTTGATGCTTAAAGCATGTATGTTTGAAAAAGTAGGAAAATATAATCTCCTTCATGCAAAGGCCAAAGTTAACCTAAAC